CTACCATACATCCCTTAGCCCAGTCCAGAAAATACAATAACCCAACACGGCCATAAAACAAAAATAAAAATAAAAGCCTATTCTCATCCTACATTGCCCTAAACCAAACCTTAATTGGCCCAAATGCCAACCCAAACAAATTCCACTAAAGGATGATGCTAGATGTACACAATGAGTTACACTATGTATTACACCCCCCTCACATGTGAGGTGAGGGGGGTGTAATCCATTGTGTAAACAACCAGTTTGCTAAAATCCACTCTCTTTCTGACAATACTTCGGTAAGCAAGAACAGTTTGCTAGAGTAATGATATATATGAACTCACTTGGGATTATGTCATGTGATGTGACATTAAGTAATAAGACTAATAAGTGTGTTTCATATTTGTATATTTAATTATACTTATCATTTCACTCCACGTCACATGGAGACGATCCCTACGGGAGTCATATAGCATTATTTGTTTGCCACCCAAGTTTATGTTCTTCTGTCAAATTCTTCACATTTCTTCTATTCTTCTACTACATTTCCGTTTCTGTATTACGTCGTCACAAGTTACCAGTGAACTTCCAGTACTGAATGAAAAGATGCCCTCATAGGCATGAATCAAAATATCAGTGCCCGACGAGAATAGGACCCAAAAAACATAAATAAACTAGAAAAACACAGATTTACCCCCTATGACAAAGCACTGTAAACTGTAAAGAAATCTGGTTAAAACTGGTGGCTGCATAGATTCTGAATTTCTGGGGAAAAGTTTCATGTTTTAAAGCATTAGCACAGCTATGTACTAATACTACCGTGACAATCTCTACTCAAAAAAGTAGGTGAACAGAACCTAGAATCTTTCATAACTGAGAATAAGAGGTGAAAAGTTTAAATGTATTTCCTCAATTCCTCATCAATTTGTGCTCTTTTACAATCTCTCCACAGACCTGAACTGGTTTCAATTTTCAACCCGAGGAATGGAAGTACATCTCCCCCCTCAGTCAAACAAGGATATCTGGACAACGCAAAAAGAAATTCAGTAAGAACGGGCAGCAAATAGAGAAAATAAGCATGTGAGTACAAGAAACACATGCATGCACGCACAAAAAGAGCGTTTTGAGTAGGCCTTGCGTTATCTTGTTTAATTTCCACAGATCACTTTGGTGCCATCTAGGCTCGGAAACAACGAATCAGGAAGGCCCCTTTGCAAAAAGCCTATACAAAGTGCGCAAATATGACGATCGACAACTGCACCAACTAAACAGATTTTCATCGGCAATAAGAAGTTTACGTCAACGGTGAGAAGTTTTTATCCAATCCAGTGAGAGGATATCAATATATTTGAAAAGCTAAATTGTAGTTATTGCCAAAGTTCGATTCATTTGGTAGGANGTCACTAATTTTTTCAAATCGTGGGGTGTAATCGTGATATGCTCAAACCGCCTCAAATCGTGACTTTAGATAACAACAGGATTCAGTCATCACTAGGATTCTGGGCAACCTAGCAATTTGGACGACGACTCCTTCGCTCTGGGCGTCCATAGGATACTTTATTCGCTCAACATCTGAGCATTCTGTAAGCTTGGGCGACGACGTTCCTTTGCTTGTGGGTTTTTACATTCTTCAATAATACCCTTTGCTTGGGCTTTCATCTTAGATTCCTAATTGGGTTTCGCTCTTTGGGCCATTTAATTTGAGCTGCACTTTTAGTGTGTCAACAGGTTCTGTCAGGAGGGGAAGATGGAAAATGCTTTAAGGCTTCAGGCAGAATGGTAAGGAAAAGGGACCAACCAGATTCGGAGACATGTGGCACTTTTATTGATGGGTATTTGAAATGTGGTAATGAAATAATGGCCGGTAAATTGAGGAAAGAAGTGCTCAACAAGTAAATTTCCTGGGTGGAGAAATTGATATGATATTTTTCTAGTTTACGTCATTTGCAGCACTTTTGAGCAGAGTCATTTTGCCACAAAGTGCAAGCTTCTTGTTGAAGCAAGTTAAGTTGCTGGTGATCTTCTAGATCTTGGTCCAAATTATTTTTCTGGACAATCAACCACACATATGATAGAGAACTTAATGTGATAGAGTGGGAAGTAGCCATAGATTGAAAAGAGAAAAAGCCACGGAGAGAAGCCATGACAAGAATGCTGTTGCGGCAGATATCTGATGCCTAGCCTTGGAGGACAAAACAACCCGTTGGCTCTGATACCATGTTAAATTCTCTTCTAGCATAGAACTAGAGAGTAGAAAAGAAAGAAGAAAAGATAAATTCAATATGATTTCATATTGAAGATTGGAAAATTATCCAATGAATTGAAATGAATACAAAGTGTATCTATTTATAGACTAATTAACTAACAAACTAACTAACAACTAAACTAACTAACAAAACCTAACTAACACTACAGCTGGAACCGTTGGACGAGCAAGATTAGTTTAGGGGGATCATGATCCGTGTAAGCTGGAGATTGTAGATTCCAACAGACTGAATGATGATTACTGTTCAGCAGTATCTCATCGTCCCTACCAAATCATACAATTGCTATGAAGAATAGGTCATTGGTCCTAACCTAATTTCTGCTCTAGTACTAGAATCACCTCAAAGAATGCTAGTACTTGCCAAAATTTAGAAAAGGGAAAATGTCTGATCAGTCCTATAGAAAAAGACTTAATGGTGCTTAGGTTTGTGACTTCTTGGTCCGTAGTAATCTTCATGGATGCTTGGTAACCAATGATGGGAATCCTTCATAATCCTAGAAAGTTTCCTCTTCTTTGTACCTGAAACATGACCTCCTTTGCAAACAATAGCTTCTTCAACCCCATTATTGTTTCTCTTTAGTACTTCAACACTTTCTTTCTGCATCGAACAAAATATTGCTCATCACATTAGACTTGATCGAAATTCCCATTTAAGACAATGCGCGAGCGCTGGCGGTCGTGTATTCAAGAGTAGTACTTACATGAACAATAGGATGTCTAGCTGGTAGAGATCCTTTTCTCAAGCGTATTCTTTCATCAGCATAGCATGCAAATATAACTAATACATTTGTCTTCATGAAATGAACACTTAATAATTGAAGGGATTTTCGACATACCATGAGATTCTTGAGTTAGGAACGATAATAGAAGCAGATAAACCAGCATCAACGGCCTCATTTGAGCACAGGCTTGCGACGAAAGAATGAGAATTTAAGAGAAATCTTGAAATATTGACAGATTTGATGAATGGGGAATGGAATGTGGATCTTCTTTGTGTTTATACGAGAAATAGGCTAGCTCGTGTATTTATATGTGAGTACTATGGCCCATATTTAGTTCTTGAACACGACACGAGTAAATTTTGGATTTTCTTTTGTTTACTCTGAGATTTTTTCATAAAGTGGGGAAAAAATAATTAATTGAAGTTTCTTGAAAAGGGTCAATGGAGTTTCGAGTAATTGTCGCGAGGGAACTTGACTGTCCTCAAGAATATGAGGGCTCCATTGTCTTGAAATTGAGAGAACTCAATACTAACAAGACAACATGTTGGAAATGGAAAGAATTATTTGCATAAAAATTGCTTTCTAGTTAGCATATCTCTATCACTACTCCACGCCTCTCAAGTGTCGTTTGTCTCCATTCAGACGATATTCTATAAATGAAGAAGAAGTCAAATTTTTGTATCTTATCTCAAGCAGAATGTTGTGTGCCGTAGAATAGTTTTGTGAGAAGTGATTTATTATTATTATTTTTTTTGTAAGTTCGGTTAAAAGTAAGGAAAAAATCATGGAACTATTTGCAAAAATTTTTTATTAAAAAATAAGTGATTAAACTTATCAAGGACAGGCTTCATTTGTTTCATGATGAAAATCTCAATTATAAATATGACTTAAACTTGATTATAATCAAATTGACACTCCAACTTTTGACTTTTTATAATTCAGCTCAACCAAACAAACATGTGTTTTCTCTCTCAGGGCTCTCCTCCCTTTTGCATCCAAAATTAGGTTGAAGAGAAAAACACATTATTTAGACTTAAATTTTGATTACCGTTCGATTTCCTGCATAGGTAAGAAGAAGAAGCGTATGGAAAATGAATTTTTACGTGCGATGATTTTGAGGTCTAATGTTCAAAAAACTAGTACATCTTGGTGTAAACAAAAAGAGAAATTCGAGAGAGTCGAACTCACTACTGATTCTCAAGGACCAAGCACGGAACTAAAACAGACAGATTTTCGATGCATGATACCAGAATCGACCCACTTAATAGAGGAATCGAAGCAAAACCAGTCGATTCTATTTAATTCTGGTCTGATTTTACCGGTTCCGAGAAAATGCCCACCCCTATCCATATACACATATCCAACCCACCAATGAAGTATCATAAACCATCCTCAAACCAGCAGAATAACCCTCATGTCTACCATACATCCCTTAGCCCAGTCCAGAAAACACAATAACCCAACATGGCCATAAAACAAAAATAAAAATAAAAGCCCATTCTCATCCTACATTGCCCAAAACCAAACCTTAATTGGCCCAAACGCCAACCCAAACAAATTCCACTAAATCCCATTCTCTTTCTCACAATACTTCGGTACTCAACTATATATGTACTCGCTTGGGATTATTCCCATGTGATGTGACATTAAATAATAAGACTAACAAATGTGTTTCATATTTGCGTATTTAATCATACCTATCATTTCACTCCACGTTACGTGGAGACGATCCCTATGGGAGTCATATAGCATTATTTGTTTGCAACCCAAGTTTATGTTATGTTCTTCTGTCAAATTCTTCTCATTCTTCTCACATTTCTTCTATTCTTCTTCTTCTCCATTTCCGTTTCTGTATTATGTCGTCACAAGTTACCAGTGAACCCCCAGTACTGAATGAAAAGATGCCCTCATAGGCATGAATCAAAATATCAGTGCCTGACGAGAATAGGATCCAAAAAACATAAATAAACTAGAAAAACACAGATTTTTCCCCCTATGACAAAGCACAGTAAAGAAATCTGGTTAAAACTGGTGGCTGCATAGATTCTGAATTTCTGGAAAAATTTTCAGCTTTTAAAGCATTAGCACAGCTAGGTACTAATACTACCGTGACAATCTCTACTCAAAAATGTAGAAGTGAACAGAACCTAGAATCTTTCATAACTGAGAATAAGAGGTGAAAAATGTATTTCCTCATCAATTTGTGCTCTTTTACAATCTCCCCCACAGACCTGAACTGATTTCAATTTTCAACCCGAGGAATGGAAGTACCTCTCCCTCCTCAGTCAAACAAGGATATCTGGACAACGCAAAAAGAAATTCAGTAAGAACGGGCAGAAAATAGAGAAAATAAGCAGGTGAGTACAAGAAACACATGCATGCATGCACAAAAAGAGCGTTTTAAGTAGGCCTTGCGTTATCTTGTTTAATTTCCACAGATCACTTTGGTGCCATCTAGGCTCGGAAACAACGAATCAGGAAGACCCCTTTGCAAAAAGCCTATACAAAGTGCACAAATATGACGATCAACAACTGCACCAACTAAACAGATTTTCATCGGCAGTAAGAAGTTCACGTCAACAATGACAAGTTTTTATCCCATCCAGTATCCACTGAGTCAAGAGATCAATACATTTGAAAAGCTAAATTGTAGTTATTACCAAAGTTCGATTCATTTGGTAGGA